TAGAAAGGAATATAGCACCTAGCTAATAAATTAAGAAAAATTTATTAGGGACTAGGAATACAGAAAGTAGATTTTTTTTAATATTTACAAAACTATGCTTCCACTACAAAACCTACTAAGTAACAATTCATAAGGTGGGAAAGAAAAAGGGCTGCTGTAAACTCAAGTACCCCTTGCAAGCACCTGCCTTTTGCATGTGTTTCTCTAACCTTACAGTGGATTGTGTAGCAAGGTTTGATCAGACAAATATCATCAACTGGTGGGAAAAGAGGAACCATTCCTTATTTTTTTAATTTTTAACTATTACACAGGAATCTTCCATGGTCAAAGTTTTCAGTGTCTTTAATATAAAAATCACCAAAAGCAGATTTGTGATTGTGTTTGAACAGTGCTCAGGAAAACACTGTAAGGACAGGATGCAAACAAAACATGAGGTAGCAGAAAACCAGAAGGGACTGGGGGAAAGAGGAGGTGCAAGGGGGCTCTCATGAGGCCCTGTATCACTGGAGAGACTCGCTGTGCTCTGCACTTCCAGTCATGTCACACTGTTCTTCGGGATACATGATTGGTTATATATACATAAGGTCACTACTAAGTTTAAGGGGTTTCATGACTCAAGGACTCACCAGAAGTCCCAGTGTTTCAGGCCTTCCTATGTAGAATATTCTTAAGAGTTTCAGTTCCTTCTGGGTTAAAGTCAGGAGTATGAATCATTTTCCAAATAAGTGAGACTTCAAATATCATCATTTTCTCTCTTATAGTGGCTTTTATTAATAGATCTCAAAATGCTCCATGGTATCCTTCCTATCACATGAGGAAACAGAACTGAAGCATCTTTTCAGCATCACATATAGCCAAGGAGCATCCAAGCTAGATAACAGTCCTGGTGTCTCCTGGGGGCAGAGGAATTCACAGCCTGTTAGGTTACACTGCCTAGTTGTAAGACTCTCCCATGAGGGTATTTTATTAGTATTTTAATTTCTATTTCAGGCTGTGGCATGCTTAAAATTTCTTTGTGGTTTGCTCTCTTACTTCAAGTTTTAAAGATATCTGGTTGAAAATTTATCCAACAAAGAGGGGGGAAAAAAAGCTCAATTTAAGAAGTCAAAACATCCATACAAATCAAAATTAGACAGCAACAAAAAAAAATGAATCCCCAGAACAGCTTCCTAAATATACTATTAAACTGTTCATGTGTGCATGCATTTATTTATTCACATGCACTCAAATGGGTCTGTGTGTGACTGCACACTGCAGCATGCAGAAGCTCCCTCTGTTCATGTGTAACTACATCTTGTTTTACCATCAGGACACATTTTCTCCGGGCATAAATCATGCAGCTCCATCAATTTCTATGAATTTGCAAAATAATTGTGTAATTTAGCAAGCCATGTTTTATACACTTTGAGAAGATTCATCCACTATTACTTGAACTCAGAAAGTCCACAAGGAATACAGTTATTGAAAACAGAAAACAGTCGTTATAGAAAGATGAAGTTATGGTAACTCAAGTAGAGCATGCTCTTATGTCATGCACATCAAGATAATTTGTTTTGACTTAATTTAAATAGTAATGTAGATAAGAACACAACTTAACAGCTGATTTTCTTTACAACATCTTAGCACTTCAGAATGAGATTTATCAGCCCCTCCATAATGTAGCTATATGCTAGATTACTACTCCACTTAATGACTAGAGCAAATGTGATCCCTCCAAAGGCCAATCACATTGCTTTAGCAACAACAGTAACAGGTTTTGTTCTTGCATTGCCAGGCAGCTTTTTGTTCCAGCCAATAGAATAATTAAGCATTGTGGACCAGATCCTCAGCTGATATAATTAGATGGCATTTCATTGAAATCAAGGCCAGCTGACACCAGCTGAGGAGCTAACCCTTGATCTACAGCAGCAACAGCTGAGGCCTTGCAAAACAGGCAGGGGAAAGCCTTCTGTTTCACTGCCTTAATGTAATAATGAGTCCTCTGCTTACAACAGATTTATCAAGCAACCAGTGGGGTTTTGGATCATTTAGAATACCGGATCCCAAATTAAAGAACTGGAACACTCAAAGCAAAAGGTTGAATCTGGAAGCTTTGGCTTTCTGAAATCAGTTGGGAGTGGTGATGCATTTCCAGGATGAGCTACCCAGCTCTGATGATCTGACAGCACCAGCCAGCTCTGCTGGCAACATGGGAAGCCAATCACATGTCCCTCCTTTCATCACTATTTAGCTCAAGCCTGCAGCTTAATGCCCCTCCAGTCAACCTTAGCAAACCATCACAGGAAGGAATGCTGGCCACACCACCTGGTTGATCTGGGGGAAGTGATTTGGTCAAGACTTATTAAAAAACATCACATAGCTAACAAAATCCTGGTGCTGGAAGGCAACCAAGGCAACATTAGTTTGACTTCTTTTTTTTTTCCCCTCCTCATAATATATTAACACACCACTTCAAAGAGGTCTCACTGATCCTTCATGCACCAACAAGAAGTTTACTATGAAATAATCAAGCTTATGGAATTTCCTTCTGTTCAGTACCAAGCATATTCCTTAGCAATAAAGGTGATTTCACAGTGTGGGAGCTTAATATGCAGTACCCACTAGATTGCCAGAGTGATTTGTGTTTACAAGGCAAAGCACCAATAAATTGGATCAGCACATGAATCTTCAGAGGGAGGAAAGAGAGTGAGAGCAGGAAGAGCACCCTAGGCAGCATCACCACAGGGGCCAAGAAAAGCACATGATGCCCTTGGGACTTCCAGAATCATGGATAGATGTTTTCAGAAAGGAAAATCCATTTTTCCATTAGGACTAACAATAGAAATATTACCTTGATTGAAAATGTGCAATCAGGCCTGACTTACAGTTAGCCCTGCTGCATTCAGGCTTTACATCAGAAGGCTGTAAACCATTGTAACAGAAAATAGCTGGTATGTTTACTCACCCAAAACCATGCTTCATTTATTTACCTGTGTACATTATCACATACACTCACCATTGTTGCTGCTCAGCGAGGCAAGCAGACAAAAATGGGGAAAATAAACATCTACACAGATTTCATCAGCAGATAAGCTATTAATTCTTGCACAAAAACAATGAAGAAATGGCAGGATATACTACAGTAACCACTCCTGAATTCTTGATTAAATAAAAGCAATGGTACAACATGCAAAAAAAAAGCGCTTAGTGTTAATTTGTAATATCAAATTAAAAAGTGTGTTGAGATCCAAAGCAATCTTGGCTTGTGATTGTAGTAATGCAGTGTGAAATTTCCACTAACATTCAAATACTTCCAAGAAAATAGAGGAAAGACATTTTAATTCAATGGCCAAAACAAGAAAATGAGGAGTTGATGTAAAGGACTTGATTTCATTGAAGCTATTGAGATGTATGTAATAACTTATTAATGTCAAAATATTCCATTAAGAACTTATTATGTCCTTGTTTACATCATGCTAGCAATTAAAGGGGTAATGTTGGTCCAACACACAGCACAGCAGAAATGAAAAGCTGTTTGCCATGTACTGGAATTCAATATGAAAGCACAGTTTAGATAAGGAGAAATATTTACATTTTTCTTACTGAGCCCAAGACCTCAGAAAGTAAAATAATAAACAACTAACTTCTGAAACTACCCAAATCAGGCTTTATTACATAGACCCCATGGCTCTACATACACAAGCTCTGTGGTTAAAAGCTTGTTTGAAGAAAAGGCTGAACAACAGTCAGCAGTTACCAAGAATTTTTGTTTTCCCATCAACTCCAAGTCTTGAAGGCAAATGTCTGAAGCAGGAGGAGGTAACCTGCCTGTGAACACTGCACTTGCACTGAAAGGGGATGGGCCAGAGGATCAAGGTACATAAGCAGTGAGGTAGAGCTGAAATTCAACCAGCTGGACACAAATCCCCATTTCTTCCCTTGCAGCGGAAAAATGGCACCATTCTTTATTAGGAGCAGCTCACACACAACCCAGACAACAGCAAAGCACAAAAGCTCTCCTGCACCAAACTCACATATGCCCACAGTCGGCAATAAGGTTGTCCTGGGAAGGACAGCCTTGGTAGCCCTTGGACTTGGTCCCTGAGCCTTCCTGCCCTGCCTGCTCCTTATCTTGTACCTGCTGCCCAATTTCCAGGCTATCCTGACCTTCAACCCAGCTCCTGACTTGTCTCAGTAGCTTCCTGACCACAAGTCATCTCAGCCCTCCCAACCCAGTAGATATTCAGGTTCTCATCTCCAGCCTGACCCTAACATCAGGCTCCCTGACAGCCCCATGGAGCTACCAACAGGAACGCAAACACGAGATTGTCACTTACTCTGTGTACCCAGACAGATTATTAGAGAGGCAGGGGGATCCCCTTCACTTACACGGCTCCAAATCAAGATCAGGATTGCATTCTTGAACTTCTTAATGGGAAAGAACAACGGGAAAGTATGGAGGCTGGTATCCTCCTCATGTTAAGATGTGCTGGAGATGTTTTCCCCATTCCAGTATGCGCTGCTAGGTATCTCTTGGCTTCACGCCCTTGCTTTACCAATCAGCAGATCTTAGAGGTACAGTGGGCTATAATACACTAGTGGTGCTGATCATTAGCAGACTGACTCCAGAATGGAGGAAGAAAGGCTTGGGACTCACATGTTGCCCCACAGTCCCAAGCAAAGCCACAAACTTGCTCTCTGATAGTGTTGGTCAACTAGCCAGTACCTCTCATTTAGCAGATGACCACATCAGTGGATAAAGGCATTAAGAAGCAAAGAATTACCTGGTGTTATTTTACTTTAAAGCTTGCTTTATTGCACTAAATGAAGAGAAAAAAAGAAAGAAAAATCTGATTAAGGTAACAGCACCTGCTAATGCCAGCTGGGAAAGACTGAAGCCTGAAAGATAGCAGGCAATTTAAGGAAAAATATGCCTGCAGACCATCAACAGGAACACAAAGCTTCACACTGACGGCAGCCTCAGTTAGCCACTTTGTGAGATAATTCCCAAGACCACTCACCCATCCTGAAGCACTGGCTTTAACTGCTCCCTCCATCACTCCACTCACCAAGGCACAGACACTTGCTTCCACCTGCCTCCTTTTGTCTCCTTGGGCTTGATTGGTAATCCAGCTCAGCTGAGTTCCCTAAAAGACAGCACCAGAAGCTCAGCAGGAGATAGGCTGCAGCCGCAGGCAGGCAAAAAGAAAACAAACAACAAAACAAAACACAAAACCAGATGTTTTTCTACATGCTATTCATGCTGGGCCCTCATCAGATATCATATCCCCTTCCAGCAGCGGTGCGCTCCCCAGTTGAACCAAAGCTGACAGACTCTGCCTGATGCACCTAAAATGTCAATTTGCTAAACTAGATTAAAATAAGCTGAACTTTAGCATACTACATAGAGAGGTAGTTAGCTTATGAACAGACCTTGATTTCCCAGGAAGAACCATACAGACTTGCTTTTGAGCAGTGGTGGGAGGCAATGACGCACAAGGAACCAGTGTTACTGTCCTCTTGGTCAATTGATCAGATGCCCTTTGACTGAACTGATCTTGGTGGAAAAGCTGATGAAAGATGGGAAGCCTTGCCTTTGGCTTCATAGCAGAATGGTTTGCTATGATTAATATACCAGTTCTTGAAGGATCCAGGGTGAAAGAATGGCTTCTAAGAGAATCAAAGTGCTGTACCTACACTGAGCTGTACCTCTGAACTAAAGTATTACGAGGTCCCCGTAGGAGAGCAAATCTTGTCCCTCCATAAAGGTACAGCGCAGTCCATGGGACCATGGCCCTGTCAGCTCTTTTTGTTCATAAATTTTCTTTTTCTGTGGGAAAAGCATTACTTCCATTGTGCAAAACATGATGACACTGTAACAGTGCATGGATGTGCTTCAGGGGAGTGCATAGCACAAGGCTCTACATAAGCACCCAGTGCAGGAACAGTGCTTGATGGAGTCTGGCAGGGGAGGGATACTTTTTTGGGGGAAAGAAATACTTTAATATTGTTTAATCCAGGGAAAAATGGGCCAGCATGATCAGTGTTGAGACGACTCTGTGGATAGGTGGTGGTGGGTATGCAGAAGCGCTTTGCCACTCTCATTCCTACTGAAGCCATTCTGTTTGAGCCCTGCTAAGGACCATAAAATCCGGGGGACCCCCTGCCCAAAGTCAGAATCAGCAGCACAGAGCATCCCTGCCTCATCACCTGAAGACCATTGGAGTGGCTTGTCCCTTCCTCCAGATTTAGACAACCACCAAGAGCACCCCTTGGGGTCCAGAGGCTGCCCGGGTCCCAGGACCACCAGCTCTACTAGCCATTAGGCCACCCAGCCACAGAGCCAACTGCACAGCTAACAGCAGCAGGAAAGAGGGCAGATTACCCTGCAGTGTGCTCACGGATTATGACAGCCCACAGGATCTCAGATTAAAACTAAGGGCTGCTCCTCCAGAGGAAGCAAAGCACACGGCTTTCCTTGATGACCTTGCTCCGGCGAGGGGCTGGGAGGGAGGGGGAGCTGGACAATGACAGAGCAGAATCGCAGCTCCCAGCCTGGGCACAGACCACGCTGACACTTTGCAATGCCATCCGTGCAGATTCCTCTCTCTGCTACCACTTTTTTCCCTTCCTTTTTTATTTTTTTGCAAACCTTTGTGGAACAGACGCCCTCTCCTTGCCCCAGTTGGAGCTGCAGTAGAATGAAAAGGGGGGTGGGAAGGAGGGAGGAGAGAAAAAAAAAACGCTTTTGGTTGAGGTTTTCCTGTTACTATCACTGTAGCGTTTATTTAGCCAATCTCCTAACTATGACGTGAGGAAGGCAGGAATCATGGCTCGCTCATAATATTTAACACACCCACTGAAAGCTGGAGCTGCAGAGCTACTAGTCCAACCAGTCTCCAGAATTCAGTGTAGCTGAAAGAGGTTTTCACTCTGCACCTGCCAAAGATCTCTCCCCCCTCTTCCCTTCTCTCTCCCCCCTTCTCTCTTCCTTTCTCTCTCTCTCTCTAAAAGGCAGATCTGTAAGACCCAGCAGAGATCAAAGACGGGAACTCTTTGCTTAAAAGAACCTCTACTGATTTATATTAGTTTCTTTCCTCTAGTCCTTCCTCTCTCCCCCCCCCCCTTTTTTTTTCTGTGCCATATTTAACCTTTATGTTGCAGTTGTGCCACCAGACAGTTTTGCTGCCAAAAAAACCCAACCCAAGCCAAAGCAAAAGCCCAGCTTGGATACAGCAGCCACCCAGACTTGATCTCAGTTGAACATACTAATCTCTCCCAAGCACTGGACGCGATGGATGAAGAAACTGGAACCGCTCAAAGAAAATGATTTTCCAGCCAATGTTCTTAAACAGTCTCAGAGAAGAGAGGGAGCGAGCGGGAGAGCGCTTCTGCTGCATCACTGGGCACATTCAAAGGAAGGGAGTCAGCGTTTCCAGCACAGCCAAATATTATGGATGATTTTTTATCTTCTGTCGCCTTTCCGTACAGGTTTTCTTAATATTATTCTCCTCCCCTCCTCCACCCCGTCTTTTTTTTTCTTTTTCTCCTTAGTTTTTTACATTTTATTTAATTAGAGCTAGTGTCTGATGCCGGTTTCTCTTCAAGAATCAGTTTTCCCTATTTGTTGTGATCCCTGTAATAAAAAGAGAGAGAAATCGTGAGCAGATGGCTTTATACATTGCAATGCCGCTGGCATTGTTTTCCTCTTCATTTTAAAAGCCCGGTCCGGTGCTCCTTTATTTTTTATTTTTCCTTTTATTTTTTTTTTTTCTTTCTTCCCCCTCCTAAGTTCTTGATGATACTGAGACATGAGGACCTATTGTTTTTAGCCTGTTTATTTCTCGGCGCCTATGGAGGTAACTTTATTGACTTGATCGCTCGCTTCCCGATCCGAAGGGAGACAGCCAAAGTCCCGGGGGGGGAGCTGGAAGACCCACTCCTGCCCGGGCTTTCTCCGCCAAAGCGCTCCCGACCGACCCGGCCGCCTCCCCTCCCTTCCCCGGTAATTTATTAGCCGCCCCGGCCATGAAAATGCTCCTGGTCCGCAAGTTCCGGGTGCTGATCCTCATGGTGTTCCTCGTTGCCTGCACCATGCACATCATGATCGACCTGCTGCCGCGGCTGGAGCGGCGGGGGACCGAGGGCCGCCCCGGCTGCTCCTGCCCGCCGCCCGCCGCCGCGCCGCCCCGCGCCGCCCCGCGCTGGCCCAGCAAGCACACGCTGCGGATCCTGCAGGACTTCAGCGCCGAGCCGGGCTCCAACCTCTCCTCGCAGTCGCGGGAAGCGGCGGAGCGGGCAGCGGGCGGCGGCGGCGGCGGCGGTGGCGGCGCGGGAGGCGGGGGGGGCACGGCGGCGGCGCGGACACGGAGACTGATCGGCCCCGGGGCGCCGCGCCCGCCGCCCCCCGCCGCCGCCGCCGCCGCCGCCCCGCTGGCCGCCCTCTTCCAGCACCCGCTGTACCGCGCCGCCCTGCCCCCGCTCGCCGACGGCGACCTCCTCTTCAATGTCAACAGCGACATCAGGTTCAACCCGCGGGCGGCCGAGCACACCGAGTGGTGAGTACGGCGGGGCACGGGGCTCAGGGACCGGTTTGCCGGGGTAGGGGTATCCCTCGGGTTTGGGGTGGGGGGGTGAAGTGAAGAGGAAGGCAAAGGGTCTCTGGGTGGACGGTGTGGAAACGTGGCGCGGCGCTTCCCCGGGTCGCTGCCTTCCCGCTTATAACGTAGGGTTTCACCGGGCGGTCAGGAGAATGGATGTAATAGCTGGTTTGGAGCGAGCAGAGGGTTGAACTGGACGATTCGGTGTCACCGGCTAAAAAGGGGGCTTGTACACAGGCGTGACCAGTTGTGCTTCTCGGAAAAAGAAATAAAACAAAGCCCAAAAGCCATGAAATACAGAATAATCACAGGAACAGGCTGGGGTGACGAGGCTGAAGGGTCTGTGTGCCCCAGCTGTAGCCAGAGGCAGATGTTAGCAGTAAAAAGTAGAAGGAGGAGTGAGCCTCCTCTCCAGCACCTTCCTGGTCTCCCAGCAGTGGGACCAGGCAGTAACACATGAACTTCCTTCAAAATCAAGGTCTGGTATCACAAAGGCATTTATCCTGGCAGGTATTTCTGCCTTCGGGGTCTGATCCGTGCTCCATTTTTCATTCTCAATTAATTCCCAGTCCTAGCACCTCTTCTGCTTTCCAGCCTTCAAAGCAGTTGGTTGCCTCTGTGAATACTATGCCCTGTTGGCTAGTAAGAAATGCTGAGAAATTTCAGTGACTGAAAAATCAAAAGGGTTGTCTAATACAACAGCACCCTCTTCCAAACACACTGACACTGTGATGTTTAAACAGCTGCATTGTACCGTGCAAAAGCTCTGTCAAGCCGCAGAGCAGCCAATGTGAGAGGAGAAGTATTTCTGATTTCTGCCCCATGAGCATGTGAATTGTCCAGGCCCCTTCCATCTAATAAAAAAAAAAACAACTTGGCTGTGAAGTGGAATAGCCTGAAAAGTTCTGGTTTATCTGAGAGGGAAAATAAAAAGTCGTAATTATATGAACATATGGAGATGACTAAAACCATGCAGGACTTACGGATTGAAGATATGTGATGGTTTATGCGGTAGGTGGAGAGTGAAACTATCACTGATGTCCACAATGCAGCTGCCTCTTGTACATATTTTCCTTGGTGGCTGCAGCCAAAGTTCACAGAACTAACATGAAGTTTAGGAGTTAAAAGCCACTTTAACAGTCATTTTCTGTAACAGTATCCTACTGCTAGGGAAGGGGCAAAACCATCCAGAGTTATTCTTTAGTAACCAGTTTGGAATGATCCAGTTTCTTCTCATTCTTTCTATTTAGAAAAAGAAGAGAGAGTGGGAGCATTTGGTACAACAGGTCAGCTTACTGCTGCGCTCTCCGTTTCGACCCAGGTCCCTGTTAAACAAAGGTTCAGGGTGATGCTGTCCTTTGAGTCAAAGTTGTAAAAGATACGTGCAAAGTAATAAAACCTAAAGATGATACAAATCTTGCAGCTCTGTGTTTCTGCTATATAAGGGCCTCTGCTAACGCTCAGTGATGTCACTCTGAGTTTAGCTCGTGACTT